CGCTCATCCTATCATCATCCCTGTCACTCCTTCCGATCTCATGAGCAAGCTCTCTCAGATGGGAGGGTTTACTAAACTACATGTACACAAATACTGTATACTATTATGTTCTATTATTTTTCTATCTATTTTTAACTCAGACACTCATGCATGTAACATGTATTATGTATACTGTATATGTATTTTTGTAAATAGTTTAGTATTTTACATGCCAAATGTACATTAGTATAAGATATATTAGTACATAAGGTATGTACATTAGTAATTAAGGTTCATGTTGTTATATTCAATAGGTGTTAGTTGATGAATCAGCTCATAAGCCAGTGTATGCTGATCTGGCTATTGCTGCTAAAGGGAAGTGGCCACAGGCAGCACCAACACAAGAACAACCAGTGGTATATGCATCAGTTAACAACAAAGTAATGATAATGTACATGTACATGTAATGGTATCTTATACATCCTCTCTCTCTCCTCCTAGTCTGTTCCTCCTCCCATCCCTCCTCCAGCTGCTCCTCATAAAGTATTGTATGCTGATCTATCAATAGCAGCTGGTAAGAGAACACCAAAGAATAAACCGCTCACTGAGGAAAGAGTAGTCTATGCAGCGGTCAATGGAAATGTAAGCCAATACACATTATACTGTATGAAGTGACACAGCCTTTATCTCTCTCCCCCCCCCCTCTCTCTCTCTTTCTTTCTCTCCCTCTCTCTCCCCCACTCCTCCAGAGGAAGTCCACTACTCAAGAGCTGATCATGGATAGGTTAGGTGGTCTGGATATTCCTCCTCCAATACCACCAAAACCAAAATTTTAAAACCAACACAAAGACATCAATCCTCCCTGTCTCCAGTAGTATAGAATGGACATACTTTAGTATAATGTATTGTGAAATGATTGACTCTATCTTGTATTCTCTCTCTCTGTCTTTCATTATAATGTCATGGGTATATAGTGTATGTTCTTTTGTAATTTTTTAGTTCATTTTAATCAACAGAACCAACAATGTATAAAGTATTATAAAGTTCTAGTTAACGACAGCAATATTAATGGTTCATCTACTCAATACGACTTTACTGGGAACAATCCTAATATATAACTATTGATGATCTTGAAGTTGATACAATATTGGATGGATCATCATCAATAACCACACCTAGTCTACCAATCCTGATTAAAGGTAGCTCCATTCCTTTATTCAGGTCATCTGAGCATGAGCAGTACACAGTATTGGGAACACCTATACCATGCATCTGAGCATGAGCAGTACACAGTACTGGGAACACCTATACCATGCATCTGAACATGAGCAGTACACAGTACTGGGAACACCTATACCATGCATCTGAGCATGAGCAGTACACAGTACTGGGAACACCTATACCATGCATCTGATCATGAGCAGTACACAGTACTGGGAACACCTATACAATGCATCTGAACATGAGCAGTACACAGGCTATTAATATTGTAGACAAATAAATTTTAAAAAGAACTTACAATTAAAATCTAGTGGCTTCTGACATGACAAGGCATTATATACAATAGATTAAACTTCACTTACATCATTTATAATCCTAATTTTATAGTTTCAAAACATAGATATTATACGTACAGCTGTGATGAAATAACTTACATAAAAGTATCAGTCAACAATCTCATCAGGTTGATTTGCAACCAATTTACTAAAGATTGCTGTTGGTAACACACAAAACATAATTATTGCTCTAAAAAATTGCAGTTTTTATTTAATAATACTCATCCTATATAGTCTTGCTTATATTCACTGTAAATGGTAATTCCTCTTTGAATATATTGATTGAAGATATAGACTTGCACCAAATATTATAGAAAAATCATTAAAATGGTGTCACTGAACTCTTGTTAAGAATAACAAATAGAATTTAAGTGATGGTTCAGTATTGTGATGCTTCATGCAGCCTGTAGTAGCAATTTTGCATTGATAAAGTTAAATTTTCGCTAACATGACCTCTTCTATTGGTCCTAGCATATTTAATACGTGCATAAATTTA